AAAATTGTAAAAGTCGTGGTGAAAGTTTCGTCCTAATCCAAATTGACGAGTAAACAGAGAAGAACATGTTTTTTAAAAGACTCTTGACCTGAAGAAAAAGCTTCGTCTTTTCCTTTTGCAAAGCAGAAAAAGGGAAGGGGAAGGAAGAAATTTCCCTGCAAATCCCTTCCCTTTCTTCTTCAACAGTCAAAAACCCTTTCTCCGACATAACCAGAGAAAGAAGATGAAGCAGTTTGATCACGGAATTGTCGGTTTGCGAACCGATCTTTCGCCTTCCGCCGTCGCTTCTTCTTCCTTAACTTTCACTGCTTCCAAATCTGAAAACGAAGACTCTTTCTGGGGTGATTATACTGTAGACCTCTCCTTCTTATCCTCCGATGACCAGAGAAGTGGTCTTGATGATGATGATTCTCTATCTAACTTGTCCCGCGATGTGGATACCACCAAAGGTTAGTTTTTTTTTTTTGCTGTATTGTATTGTTATTTCCTTGAAGTTAGGGTCGTGTGTTTGTATAAGTAATGGGAACAGAGATTTTGGTGTAAAGAGCTGATTTTTTGGAGGCTACTTTGTGACACTTGTGAAAAATATTTGCTGCAGGAGAGCTTTTTGAGAAAAAGTTAGTAGCTTGCTCTATATTGGCTGATGAGTGTTCCAAAGTTGCTGGCGATGACAAGTTGGATCTGTCCTGTGCCAACAAAGCTGTCTTGTCTGAGAAACAATCAACATTGTCTGACCAAGATGACTCTGAAGACACTCCTTGCTGGATAGGACTAGATTCTAGATCTGTGACTTCCAGGCGCTCTATTGATGATCTTTGTGGATTTTATAAGTTGAATCCCTTGGCACCTCACTTTATACCATCCAATTCTAAGAAGAATATCGATACGAATGGGAAAAGAGATGGTGAAGAAGAGGGGAATTCTTCATCTTTGAAAAAGTCTTTGTCTTCGGATTTTCCATCATCGTCAGGAGAGTTCAGCATAACTGATCCTCTTGAAGATGGGAAAAATGATGCAGCAAGAAGAACGGTTAGCATCCTCACCAACAATGCAGATGAAAATCTCGGTTTCCTATGTCAAGATAGTCTTTCCAAGACTGTGAGCATGTCAGATTCTAGAAATGAATTCCAGACAACTAAAAAGTTGGATCCTTTGGCTCCTGTTTTTGTTCCCGCTAGTGCGAAACTAAGTCCTTTGGTCCATGAGAAGCAAGGAGCTTTTGATACAAATGCTCATTCAACTCCTGCTCTACCTTCTCCAGAGAGTATGTCGCTAAATACGTTGGTAGAGACATGTTCTGGAGAGGTTGGCCGCACTATTAAGATTCGATATCCTGATGGCCTTATTGAATCAGGTTCGACATCTTCATACAATCCCTGGTCTGAATCCAAAGTTGGGATTACTGGGGTTGCAAAACTAGGAAGCTCCAGCAACAACTCTCATGGTCAGCGGAGATTGAACCCATTGGCCCATCAGTTCTCTCTTGCTGACACTAAACCGAAAGCATATGGTTATGAGAAAAACCAAGCTGCAGATGATTTGTCGCTAGAGGTGAATACTGTAGCTTTATCCCCTTCAATTGGTTATGGGGGCCACAATGTAGTAGATGCAGACTTAGCACAATCCTCAGTATATGTGGAACATCTCGTTCCCAACATGTCTCGTGGAAGTTCTTCACTTATATCTTCAAAGACGGATGGGTCTCTAAATCGGTTTGGGGTGGAGCCAAACACTACACTTTCAGTAAAGGATAGTATGGATTTTAAGCTTCCGCTTCCTTTTCATATTTTAGAAACTGCTTCTTCGAACGATGTAAAACCTTTCTCTGGATATGGTCTAAAACATAGCGCTTCTACATCATCCCCATCTCCAAAAGTGGATGTGAAGAAACTACTTACAACGATGCATGGACTGTCGGAGTTACTAACACTTGCACATGGTTCAGGATCTTCAGATTCACCAAATTCTCAAGAGCTTGATCTCGTTAACAGTACTGTACAAAATCTCAACTCGTACATCAAAATTAGCATTCAGGAACAGGCTGGGACTCAGAGCATCATCCGACACAATTCATATGATCTAAAGCTGTCACCTAACAAGAGCAAGGTATATTGTTTGAACTGCTTTTATGTATACATTATGCTAGCTTAAGTCGAATGAGAATTCATTGACCCATTGCATTTGCGTAGAACATATTTTATACAAGGTCATTAGGAAATATAGCATCATCTTACAAAAATGATACTGTGTTAATGGGTCACCATGATTCCAAACCTTCTCTATTAGCTATCGATTAGAGACCTTCAGCTTCCAAGGACAAACAATATGACTGTCGACCTTGATGTTAAAAGGAAAGAGAAATACTCCATGGTCTCAGGGGAAACGGTACCAGATTCTCGTTTGTGTGAATATGTTGCAACCAAAGATAACAACTTTGGTCAGGTATGGCCTCTTGACTACGAGTCTCAGTTGTAATGTTTAGCGTTTATCGGGAGGTAGACCTTTGGTTTGATAATGTGTAGGTTGTGAGCGGTTACCAACAGGATCGTCAAGGCGAGGAGCAGATTCACCCTCATGCGCTATTCTATAAAAGTTTATGGCTAAAGGCTGAAGCAGACAGGTGTTTGATGGTATACGAGACTTCTCTTTCGAACCCAACTTCTTGAGGATAATAGAAAGGTGACTCCAAATCATCAAATACACATCCTTGACTTTTAATTCAGAGTGAAAGTTTGACGGGCATTGCGTGTCAGATTGGCAAGGCTTGCCCAAGGTCCTCTAGAGCAATTCTTTTCGATTTTGCAGGTTCGCATGTAAAAATATCAAAGAACAGCCTCAAGATCTCCTGTTTCAATCATTTCCTAAGAAGTAGCAGGCATGTGACTAATTCTGCAGAAGGATGAAGTTGGTGTTCTCTTTTTACTAGTTCACTTTCATATATTTAAGGTCATGTTGACTCAAGTGAATGAGTTGATCCTAATTACAGTTACTTTAATCCCAACTGATCAAACTTGTCTTTCTCTTGTCAGAAGCTTCATATTGTTTGGAAGTGGAGCCTTTCGTTTGCTGAAGATTGTAACGTTTTCTTGTTATGGTCCTGATCTTTGATTATCAGATGTATAAACAAATCTCTGTTACTCTTGTTTTGATTATTGTACGTATCACTTTTTTAAATTATATAGTCCTCTCCTTATTACTTGTTCCCCTTTCTTAAAAATAGTTAAACCTAGATTTGATCAAAGTTGCGGAAACAAAATGACCTTAAATAGGGAAAACCAGGGAAAAGATTAATAATCTTCCAAGAAAATGGTAGCCAAAGAGTACTGCAAGAAGAAAGAATGAAACAAAATCAAGAGGACATTGTAGCGGTGGTGGCTCTGTGACTCAGCCCTTAAGTCGTGAGTTCCATAATAGCTGAAACGATATCTCCATCGCTGGCCTTTAGAGCTTTCACGGCTTTGGCCTTAGTGACACCAGCTTGAGTCATCACAAGATCAATGTCTCTAGCTTCAACTCCTGTGTCATCAACA